CCTATAAAAAATTTGAAATCACTATAATTTTAGATTTTTAATAGTAATAGGAATCTATAATAACAAATTCAACATGCTAGCATTGTTTAAGTATATAGCCTATACATCCTTAAATAGCTTGTTAACGAAACGTGTCGTTAGACATTTGTTTTTTAAACGAAAATCGTTCGTTCGCTTTCGCTTGCTGCAGCATAAAATCATTTGTTCTAGTCGAACTTCGCTTAATGCAATTATAATTTATTGAGTTAAGAGATTATACTCTTTTAGGAATTGTATCGTTTACATTTCACGATATCCCGAAAGTTAGTCGCCGTTGAAACAGCTTAGTTTTCTTTTGCTTACGTTCTTGTTAAATATATTCACGTCCCGAAAAGTTTACGTTACCGCTGCACGTTTTCCAGCAGTTGTATCGTAATCCGTAACGATAATGTAACGTTCGTCATTTGTATCTTCTATTAGTCCAATCTCCGCCGCGGATATCCAAACAACCCCCGACGGACGAACAGTTGTTTCAAGTGGCTCAAGCGAAGATCAATGAGAACGACAAACCATTTTTAATCGAATGCGAGGCAGAAGGAGAACCTGCTCCAAGGTAAACGACACTTAACCGAAAGATAAATAATAAATGTATCGCGTCGTTTCATTGTTTCACGTGCATCGAGTATCCGTGGAAGCTCGACGATCGTGTGAATGCACGAAATTAATTAATGATTAACAGATCGTTAGGACAGCATTTTACCGAGAACATTTCATCCGCATAGTTTCATTTTACTTGCATTCAAGTGCACTGTCTCTGTTCCTCAAAGAAGCCAGAGTAACTGGTCTTAATTACCAGGATGACCTCATAGCCTTAGGGGGTATAAAGTTACCAGTACCGATAAAGACACCTTACTCGTGGCGTGAATTGTACATGGGTGTGGCCTCGCACTATGCTTTAGGAAAATAGAAGAGATCATTACCGCACGATGATCTATTCATTCCTTCACGATCGATACCGCGTTACTCCTAGTACGATTAATCGTGATTCGACGTTTGCCGTCGAACGTGCGAACATTCACGAATAAAGATTGTATTGTCTTCGTTCAGATATCGTTGGATTAAGAATGGAAAGAATTTCGAGTGGCCAGCGTACGACGACCGTATATCTCAGCAACCTGGCAGAGGTACGCTGGTGATCTCGCGGCCACGGGACGAGGATTTGGGACAATATCAATGCTTCGCGGAGAACGAATGGGGAACGGCTACGTCGAATTCCGTGTTCGTGAGGAAGGCCGAGTTGAACTCGTTCAAGGATCAGAACCCGGTGAGTCTGGATGCGCAAGAAGGGCAACCTTTCAAGTTGACATGCCAACCGCCCGACGGTTGGCCGAAGCCGAACGTATATTGGTTGATCCAAGACACTGCCGGAGGCATCAAATCGATCAACAATTCGCGAATGACCCTGGACCCGGAGGGAAATCTGTGGTTCAGCAACGTGACCCGAAACGATGCCTCCGACGATTTTTATTATGCATGCGCAGCTACGTCCGTATTTAGAAACGAATATAAATTAGGAAACAGAGTTGTGTTAAACGTTATCTCTTCGGGAATGTCCGCTAGTCAGAACAAATACCCCCCTGTTAAACAGTACGTCAGTAGGAAAAACGAGGTTGCCTTACGCGGTAAGAAAATCGAATTATACTGCATACACGGCGGGACCCCGCTACCGCAAACAGTCTGGAGTAAAAACGGAGAACCGATCAGAACCAACGATAGAATAATGCAGGGGAATTATGGTAAATCGTTGATAATCAAGCACGTCAATTTCAAAGATGAAGGCACGTATACTTGCGAAGCATCGAACGGCGTGGGTGACGCGCAATCGTACTCCATAAAGTTACAAGTGATGGCGGTGCCGTACTTTACTATCGAGCCCGAGATCATAAACGCAGCAGAAGATGAGACCGTCGAGTTCAAATGCGCCGCTGACGGCGTCCCGGTCCCCGAGATAAAGTGGATTCACAACGGTAAACCTATATCGGAGGCTCCGCCGAATCCCCGTAGGAAGATCACGTCGAACTCGATAATCATCGAGAAGCTGACGAAGAAGGATACCGGAAATTACGGTTGCAACGCGACGAACTCGTTAGGCTACGTATACAAGGACGTGTACGTGAACGTTCTAGCTCTGGAGCCTGAGATCACGCAACCACCGGCGGACATCGCTACGGTCGATGGTAAAACCGTGAGGATCACCTGTCGTGTGTTCGGGGCGCCGAAACCGAGCGTGAAATGGATTCGAAACGGGCAAGAACTAACCGGAGGCCGGTACAGGACCTTAGATTCCGGCGACTTAGAAGTCGAGAATGTGATATTCTTAGACGCGGGCACCTATACATGCCACGCGTCCAACAAATTCGGCGAGGTAGAGGCTACCGGTAATCTTCAGGTGAAGGAACATACAAGAATCACCGACGAACCGGAGGATTACGAGGTCGCAGCTGGTTCCACCGCTACGTTCAGATGTAACGCCGTAACGGACTCGAGTTTGGTTCTGACGATCGATTGGCTCTCTAACGGCGAACCGATCGATTTCGAGATGGAACCGCGATTCATACGAAGCACCGATTACTCCTTAATGATCACGAAAACGACTGAACTGGATTCCGGTACTTACACGTGCGTCGCTCGAACCGAGCTGGACGAAGCCAAGGCGCAGGCCACGTTGGTCGTTCAGGACGTACCGAACCCGCCGAAACTGCTCGGCATCTCATGCATGGCCAGGGAAGCTAGTATACATTGGACACCGATGGGGGACAACAGAGCTCCGATCTTGAGATACACCATTCAGTACAATACGACTTTTACACCGGACACGTGGGAAATAGCGAAAGACAATGTACCGTCGACCGAACAAACGTACGTGATCCCGATGTCACCGTGGGCGAATTATACGTTCCGCGTGCTAGCGTGGAATAAGATAGGTCCGTCGTTACCGTCGCCGCACAGCGACGTGTGCACGACGTTGCAGGACGTGCCGTACAAGAATCCCGATAACGTCATGGGCAAGGGAAGCACACCGCAAAATCTCGTGATATCGTGGACGGTGATGCCGCAGATCGAGCACAATGCACCGAAATTCATGTACAGAGTCTACTACAGACGAGACATACCTGGAGAGAGATGGACTATAGAGGATATACACGATTGGAAGAAGAACAGCTTGGTCGTGGAGAACCAACCGACTTATCAAAGGTACAAAATCAAAGTGGTAGCTATCAACGAAAGAGGCGAATGTAGAATCGCGCCGGACGAAGTGGTCGGATTCTCTGGAGAGGATGGTTCGTACATATTGTTGTATTTTCATTCTATCGTTTCGAATTATTCATTTCACGTTTAAAATTGACGCTTGATGTCACAGTGCCGTTGCAAGCGCCCACTAACTTCACGCTGGTCCAAATAAAATCGAGTACAAGCGCACAATTCTCGTGGAACGCGGTTCCCGAGGAATCTGTACGGGGCGAGTTACAGGGGTACAAATTTCAAACGTGGTCGGAGAAGGATGGCGAGAAGGCGATGCGAGAAATCGATATAAGAGGCGGCAACAGGACTCACGCGTTGGTCACCAAGTTTGTACCGTTCAGCAAGAATTACGTTCGGATACGAGCGTATAATGGCCAGTGAGAAGCGTCAAATTTGTACAAAGTTACGTTCGTAGATTTTTATGCATCATCTTATATCGTGTCCTCTTTTCATCACAGACACAACGGACCGCTTTCCGAGACATTGAGTTTTGACGCGCCAGAAGGCGTTCCGGGAACGGTGCTCAGTCTCGAAGCGTTTCCAATGGGTTCCAGCGCTCTGTTCTTAGTGTGGACGAAACCCGCGGAACCAAACGGTATCTTGAGTGGATACAGGATATATTACGAAGTCGTAAACGGTACCAGGTTAGGACCTTTGCTAGAAAGAAAGCCGTACATCACGGACCCGGAATCTACCAGTGCTAAGTTAGCTGCCCTGGCACCTGACACTAAGTATCGCGTACACATCCGGGCAACGACCAAGGTCGGCGAAGGAAACGAGTATGTAAATTCATCGTTACTCACGGTGTACCTCCTGATCTACGCTCTCTATAAAACATCGTTTCGTATTCCATTCATTTAGCTATTTCATCGAGCAAAAAACGCGCTCGTCTCAACGTCCCGACGTGCCGCAGTTCACTTGGGAAACGATTCCGAAGGAGAACGGGTACTCGAACGTGAGAATTATATGGCAGCTGAATCTGAACGGGAACCCGGGAAGTCACTTTTTCGTGAAACATAAGCTCAAGGGCGAAACGATATATCTCGAGACCGAACCGGAATATCACTCGAACACGATCGAGATTCGCGGGCTTCGGAGCGGCGAGACGTACGTGATGTCCGTCGTCGCCGTCGACGGTAACTACTTCACCGAGAGCGACCCGCAGGAGATAGAAACGAGCAGCGAAGGCCCCATCATTCAGCCCAAGGAGAACGTGGCTACTGCCGGATGGTTCATCGGAATGATGCTGGCGATCGCCTTCCTCCTTTTAGTACTTATAATCGTATGCGTGATCAAGCGCAACAGGGGCGGGAAGTATGCGGTGCACGAGAGAGAATTAGCTGCCGGCCGCGGCGATTATCCGGACGAGGGTGGTTTTCACGAGTACTCGCAACCTCTGGACACAAAGTCCGCGGGTGGCCGCGCGTCTCTGGCGTCCTCCTCGCATCAAGACGGGAAGCATCCGGAATCCGACACCGATTCCATGGCGGAGTACGGAGAGGGAGATACAGGTCAGTACGAAGTGCAATAAAGGTCTCTGTGCTTATCGAGTTAATGGGGTAACGAGCTCGTTCAGGTATGTATCATTAGATCCGAGTAGGATGTACACCCCATTTCTCACGTATACGATTGAACAAATTTTACTCGGACAAACTTATTGCTCACATGTTCAAATGCAAACCGAAGCACGATCCGAACATTTATCATTTTTACACGCCCGATGTAGAATAGAAAAATTTATTTATGCGTTATCCGTTCGATACCCCCCTCAGCACTTTAATTCTTATTTCGTTTCTGTTCTCCCATTTTTATCTTTATTTTGCTTTACCGCTCGACTTGAATGCAGAAGGTATGAACGAAGACGGATCATTCATTGGTCAGTATGGTCGGCATCGTAAACCAGAACCAAATTCACAAGCATTTGCCACGTTAGTATAAGGTAGGTCGAACGACGCACTCGACGATCGGATCGCCGTGTCAATGATCTTCGTATTTTTTCATCGTAAACAATTGGAAAATCGGTAGAATGGAAAATCTTGTCTTGCTCGTAGGACGTTTCACGGAGGACGGCTCTTTCATCGGACAATACGGGCCCAAAGGTAGACCGGAAGAAACGCCACCCATCCCGAGCGGTACCATGGCCACATACGTGTAACCTTTACCGTCGTCTCTCGTTCAGGCCGCACGAAAATCGTATTTTTTTTTCGTTTGGTCCGTCAGAAGTAAGGTAACTCCGATCCTTACTAGCCGCAGCAGCTCTGCTATGCACTTTGCGCTGGGCGCAACGTCCAACACTATACTGCCAATTAGAGAGTTTGGTTTTGGGTTTTATAGTTCACGCGTAGAGAAGTACGTGAGTTCAATTGTACACGAAGTCGGTTCGTGTGAAGTGTACGAGTCATGCGCAACGTTTGTACACTCGCGTCATTTAAGAAAGAAAAAGGCGATTCCTTCATCATTGTCCGTATTATGGATGTATGCGTCACTCGAGTATTCCGGTAGTATTTAGTATCCTCGGAGGAAGATGAGACCTCTCCGATACGTATTCGATCCACGCGGTCGGGCGTGTTAAGAAATTGAACTTGTTGGTCGATCGAGAGAGAAGAAACGAAGAAAGAATTATTTACGATTAACGAATTTGTTGAGCGATCTTTGACTAATTATAAAACCCGAAGACGATATAGGTGTCTCATAGCGTATGAGCTATATTCATGGACATAATGATATAGTAGAAAGTATACTAGCATCGACCGTAACATTTGACAAGGCCAGATTGAGAATCGACAGTTTCGAATCATCGCACAGGGTATACGAGTTATGTTTATATTGTTCTAAAGTATGTACGACGCAAACGAGAAGCATGGTACGCTTTTAAGACTGCATATAGAGTCGTGTCTTTCAAATTAAGATAATCAGTATCGATAATTCGTATCGCCCGGATTATTATTAGTTCATACGCGATGCAGTTACTTACTTATATGCAATCTTGAAAAAACGAAAGAGATGAGATCGAGCGCAGTCTCGCAATCTGGCCTGGACTGACACTAATTTTAATTAACGAAGGAAAATAAATGAAGAAGAAATGATTGTTCCAAGAACGTTTACAAGACGCAATCAATTTTTACTCTGCCGACAAAGGGCCAAATATGACGAGTCAGTGACTATCTACAATTATTGTGCACGTGCACTTTCATCAACGATACACGAACGATAAAAATATATGAAAGATATTATTATTATTATTATTATTATTATTATTACTAAAGATATTAAAAAGAACATTGTACATGCACTATAGTAGTTGAGAGAAAATGTCACAAGGCCTCTAATTGTTGCTTTTTGTATGTGAAACGTGCTTTAGCTGGGAACGAAAGCCCTTTCTACCTTTATCACTGTTCAACTTTAATTTGAGTAATTTTATTATAATCCAATGAGTATATGAAATATTATTTAATATATAAAAGAAAGAAAGGTATTTGAATATATATAGAGACGTATATATATATATTGATTATTACGTTTTAGTGGACAAAGTGTTATTAACGCGAGACATTGAAAGTTCGTTCATTTCTCCCGACAAAAAATCTAACATTATTTTCTCTCTTACATTTATCGTACTGAGTTATGCAATGCAACGTACAGGTTGTCTGCAAAAGTGTCGTGAGCAAATATATCAGGTACAAAAATAAAAAAGGTACAAAATATATAGAATACTTACAATACGATGCGCGCATAAAGTTCGCGAAAATCTATACGACACCGTCAAACGATATTGCACTTATCAGCCTACGAGGAAAGAGGAATCGAATCAGAGTAGCGTTTATTCTTCCGAGTCGTTCTCGAACAAAAAATGTTTTAGATGCTTCGAGCTTCATTTGGGTAAAACCGTCTGTAGATCTGTCGCTTATATTTGTCAAAGTCTTTTTTGCCGATTATCTTGTACAAACGACTTGGACGTCACGTAATTTTTACGAACTCTCTCTCTCACCATATATATATATATACATATGTGTGTGTGTGTATATTATAAATAAATATATACGAACATCCATAGGCGCCTATAAAAAGAATGTATTGTAAATGAGAGAAGAGGAAACGAAACAGTAATTTATTGTAAAGATATGAAACAAAGAGACGTGTAATGTAATATATTGAAAAAACGTCGGTTAATCATTTATATTGAATACTTGCCAAGATGTAAGCGTCCCGACGTCCAAGTCAAGATATAGGCGTATTACGTTTCGATATATTTTCCTGATCATACTATAACGGCTTTTGTATAGTTTCCAAGTTACAATCAGGTCCCTCGAAGTTTGAATCATTGGTTGGCTGACAACGCATAGTAACTTATTATTATGTGAACTTCCAATATTTTCGTACGCGTAACCGACGTTTTGATACTTTTAATATATTTTGATACTTTTTATTTCTTTATTTCACTTGTTATACATATACGACCAGAGAGGAGGTATTTTCTTTTGTATTCGCAATTAGAGATGTAAGCATTTAGCGTGAACAAAAATTCGTGTGTTTGATCTGGCTTATTTTTTGATAATTATTAGTTTCGTTTGTATCGTCGAACACGGTGTTAGCGCAGTGAACACAGATTTATATTAGAAAGAGAAAAATGCGATATTGTAATGTGAGACTTTCCACGAGAAACAGTGTTCATTTTACAACGACAGGATGGCACACATGTTGATTCCACGCAGAATTATACGTGTACATCAAAAGGAAGACGGTCGGTTAAACATGTGCGCGCCTATCGTGCTAACTTTTCATTGTACATTGTCTTACTACTATTAAGATACTAATGCGTTTCCCGATAAAAAGACGCATAAAACGATCTACACCCAAACATAGGTAGGCTTTTTTATGCGTTTTTTTAATGGTCTCGTTTCAATATTTTTTCTACGGAATAGAGCTCGCAGAGTTTAGCCACCTGGTTAAAGATTTCTTTATCCCCCTTTAGCGCGTAGACAGATCGATTATTGCGTTTAACGATGTTTTGTAAAATTTGGAAAGAAGCGAAAGAGAGTTAGCCTTACGTGTTTGATCGTTTATCTGCGATTACGATAACGCGCATTCCAATGCCTGTATTACATCTCCCGTGTCAATAAAGAGAAGAAATACAATAATATTACCAACAATAAGCGCGAGCAGATGAGCATCTATGTGTATGAACGACCGAAATTAATCATCGACCGTGGAGTTGTTCGTCGTTTTTCAGGATTCGAAGGGACCAGCGGCTCTCGCTCAATTGAAACGAAGAATTTCTCGGAACAGAAGGAGCCTTACGACCACAGAAAATGACGATTTGTCAAAAGGTTTGATGCTTCCTACCGAAGGTCGTAGAAAGATCAGATCGAGAAGCAACGACCGAGACCCCTGCGGTTTCCCTCGGGGTCCTTGTCACACCGTACTAGAAGCGAGACAGTACCTTCTCTACGTTATACGCGTCGTGTACGGGAGCGCATTCGTTCAACGAAGCAGGAGGCTGCGCGGACAGAAGTCGAACGAGATATGACCGATAATGTAATTATGCGGGACAAGTTTTTTGTGCCGGTGCTTCGACTTGATCTCTCGTCAGTCAGTCTCTTCTTTTTCTTTCTCTACCCGCGTCTCCCGTTCTCCCCCGACCTTCCTCCCTGCGAACGTTTCCTTTTTCCGTCTCTTTCCCACGGGCACCGTCCTGTCTAGTGTCTCCTCGTCCACGCGAACCTTCCCGAGTTTTCCCACCTTTCCCACTTTCATCGGTTCCTTCCTCTGCTCTCCCCGACGCGTTCCCGCATTTCGGTACGTTCTCCCACCCGTTTTCTCCCACAGGCTGACGACGAGAAGGAGGCGAGTGAACGGCGAAAAGGGACGAACAAGAATTGACGGGCGCAGAAAATGTAGCATGGATGTTAGCGCCTGGCTGCCTGTCCAAGTTGGAATAGCGTGTTCGTGTGTGGACACTGTAGACCCGAGGTCGTGGTGCACAGTACACGTCCGTGTCCTCTGCGAGAAGAAGAAGTAGAAGTAGGGCCGATGCATACGATAGAGACGGAGGAACTCTTGTACGAGTTGCACGCGCTCGTCGGATACGCGAATATGTTGCAAGGTAAGAGTCACGATGATAAATGGGCCTCCTCCGGATTGCACGCAGTAGTAGCCAACGTAATTTGTTCAATTCTGTGTAGAACACGATTAAAACGATTCCTTGCATACAGAGAACGTTTAAACAAATGAGTCTGTTCGGTGTTCATCGGCCGATTAGAAATTCGTCAGATATGAACGATGCGTTCCGATCTGCTATCACCCAACGATCTGCTAAAAAGATCACGGTACACGTGGGTGAAATCACCTACCGGTTAATGCTCGGTCGTGTACGACTGTCGGTGGTTCGTACAGCGAATCCAATTAGGTTTGCGACGACGGTCGAGCAAAAAGCGTTCGATCGGGAACAAACCGGCACCGGTCGCTCCTCGACGGGCAAGGGAACCTCGACAGGCCTCGACGGCTCGCTTTCCCGTTCGTGAACGGCGTATAATATACGCGTTCGGATCAATTCTACGTCGGACTCTGTTCCTGCCGCATGCCGCGGCGTAAGTATCATCGAATATGTGTCCTCTAATTTCGCCTAACCATAAAACCGACATCCCATTCGGCGAATCTGTACACGTTCAAAAAATTGATCACCCGACTGGAGGATTCCGATATCCATAAAATCGATCAAGCATCCCCGACTCCTTGACTCGTACTCGCCCTTTAAGGCGTGTAGAAACGTGTTGATTTTGATTGGAACAGTCTCGTCCATTGTACGAAAGAGAACAGGTATATAACTTATTCCTTCCCGTTCGATTGAGATAAGAATAGCACTGAGAGACTACTTGTATCTTTTTCTGTCTGCTTATCGAGCCGGGAAAAAGTGTCAGGAATTCGCAGCGTAGAGGGCTTTTATCGGACGGTGTGTATCTTTCAATCCGGCAAACGGAGTACGTAATAATAGCTCCGCGCGCAAGAGGATCGTTTCTCTTCTCTGAATTACCCTGTATGCACGCCCTTTCCGTGCACCGTGAAAGAGGGGTAAAAAGAGAGAAACGCGACGAGGAAGAAAGAGAAAAAGGGACGAAACGCAGAAAGAAGAGTAGGAGCAAGAGGCAAACCGTACGGCTGTAAGAGGTAACAATGGGCCATTTGTTAGACGGTCCAACCCTTAGACGCGCAGCCTACAATGGACACTATTATCGGCTGTCCATTGAGAGCTCCGTTAAACCTGTTGCACGATGGATCTGGAATCAATCTCGGATTAACGACGCGACTGCCAGGTCGCACCGATTCTTTTTACTTTTCAACGCGACCTTCACAAACGCGAAACAGAATTTTTATTTCGAACAGCATATTCAAGATGTAATTACACCGGCGTCGAGTCGATAAACACAATTATTATTTCGTCTCGTTTCGCGTCGAACAAATTCGTCCTTACACTTCGGGAGTCCCGTCGAAGACTCGGTCCAAGCACTGTACGCATCGCACATCATGCATTATTCAACGAGCCACGTTAATGTCCCGCGGTCGGAAATAGTAACGCAGTCGCTAGGCGTTTCATTGTTATATGCCCGTTTTCTACTTTCGGGGGACGGTCGTTAATCCGAGAAATCGCGGACTTACTCTCTTGCCGTTTCACGATTCGATAGAATTCGATCGAAAATTGTCTTCGCGTTCGAATCCATCGCGGATGAGATTACATACATACTGTGGTTTCTAAGACCACAAGTCTACACGTGAGAACGTGTAAAGAAAAGATATCTGGTGCGCTTGTGTACTTTTCGCCACTTGCGCTTGTTTGTAGAAAGTTTCCAGCGATACCCGTTGTCTACACGTTTCTCGGAGAAGATCGATTGCGTTCCGATAGCCGACTACCTACCCGTTTCCTTCGCGAAACGCGAAGAGAAAAATGTACCGCCGGCTCACCGATCGCAAACGTCGGAGTGTAAAATCGTGCACGTCGCGTATGTACCGAGACGGTACTTAACCGGGCTTTGTAACGGGTCGCAAAGCGATCATGGAAATCTGACCGAACGTTCGACGGGAAGAATACCGTGTCGATGTGAGAGAGGCACGACCAAGGAAGAGCGAAAGCACGACCAAGAAGATTTAAGAATAGTCAAGAGACGCCGACGAGTCAATGACAGGGCCCCGGTGTCAAGCGCGGGGAACAAAGTCCAAATTGCAACAGAGTGCTTTTTTTTTTTTGGCCGAATGCAAGGGGATAGAGGAGAGCGGTGGAGCTGAGGAGGAGGGGAATAGGAGATGAAGCACGAAAGAGAATGGAAGAAGAAACGAAGAGGACCCCGTTCCAAAGACGCTTAAAAACTGGTTCCTTCCACCCATTTCTTTTCACCTTATTTGCTAATCCGAATTGTGATTTCCATAAATCCGCGTGTACGATATTCGAGTCGCCGCGAGATCGACGTCGACCGGTAGACCGTAAAATAAAGTCTACCAGGCACTATCTTTGATTTACCACACGTTTATCTCCCGCGCTCGTGTGTCTATCTCTGACGAAATTTTGATAATGCCAATTTAATTGATCGTGCTCGTACTTGCAGATCGAGAGGCACGACGGACATAAAATATAGGCGAGGATACTTGTCTTCGGTAATCAATGACACCGATCGATGACGATCGGAATGTGATTAAACGCTCGTCGTAGAATCGACCGTTTGCAATTGCGATTCGCAAACTTGTGGGATCAGAGGATCGAAATCTCGCGTGGAGGACAAAACGTAAGAACAGATCGAAGAGAATACGAAGAAAATGGCACGGCGTTTTGTATGATTATTAATCGGGTTCTCTCTCTCTCTCTCTCTCTCTTTCCGTCTCTCCGGAGCAGAGTCGAGAAGGAAACGTTGGTGACCCGCAAATCGTTGTGCACGGACCCTTATCCCCAAACGTATCGGGACCCCTTGAACGATAGAGATCTTGCTCGCGGTCTCACGCGGGCAAGAAGACGATGGGCTGCTGTGGGCCCTTTTCTCATTGAGTCAGTCAGTCAGTCAGTCAGTCAGTTTGCCGCAGCAACGCGGTCTGTACGCACGTGTGTATACGCCGCGTCGCATCGCATCGCGTCGTCGTCGTTGTCTCGTTAACTTTCAACGTCGAGCGATCCGCACGGCTGCGTTATCGACGGAGCCCCTGGACGAGCTCGGGCCCGGCGGCGGAGGGAGCATCGGCGAAATTGGTCGTCGGTCAACCGGTCGGTCGCTCGTTCTCTCGATCACGATCCCCGCTGACCGAGCACCGCGCGCACTCGCCGGTCCTCGGTCGTGTCAGGCTCGTTAGATCGCGTGCGTGAGAACGTGCCCGTTCGTCTCGAGTCTCTTCCCGTGAAATCCTGAATTTCACGCGTCGAATCGCGGCGTGTCCCGTCGGCCCGTACCCACGACAGAGGTACACGCGGAAACGACACACACGTACACGCTCCTTCTCTCTCTGTCATCTTCTGTCCCTCGTGCGTACACCCCGACACGCGATACGTACACGCGCGTGAGAAACCGAGTGAAACGGCAACCGCGGTGAGAGAGACGGACGGATTTACGTGTAGCCAGAAAGAAGGGGGGCTGGTCATAAACCGTGCAACACCTGGCGGCACGTCGTTAATTATGCAGTGGGCCGCAGCCGCCCTGGTCTCGGCGGCGATCGCTCTGCTCCTGGACACGGCGGCCGCGAGGCATCACCATCGCTCCGGCAATGGGCACAAACCGGACGGTGACATTTCTCTTTGGATCGACCAGCAACAGATCAAAATGTTCAGCGGTAAGCACGCGTAATCTGCATGCATGCAGATGTACTTAAGGTTCTTCGCTCGCGCACTCCGCGATTCTTCTATCTCTCTCTCTCCTGATTAATTTTGAAACTAATTTTTGCGATTTACACCTTGGACCGTGGAAGACTACGAGGATCACAATTACGTCGCTTACAAACGATTTCGTTTTCCTTTCGTATCGGTTTAATAAAATATCGTTTTAAGCGTGCGTTTTTCTCACATCGGTTCGGAGACCGACTTTCCTTTGTGTCTGTACTGTTCTTCTTTGGATCGAGAACTCGTTCGTGTTCTGTCATTCTCGTACATTCAAACATCAGTACGTATTTCACAAAGATAAGTAACGACTCGAGCAAAAATTACTTTTAAAACATGTATGACACACGAATTGCAATAGTACTCTTCGTCTTCTGTCGAGTTTAGGGATCGAGATGGAGATATTCGCGATTACCGAGGGTAGGGTCTTGCCTTATCTATTGGATCCGGAATTCGAGAGCAAACTTCCGATTATCCCGAACGAGGTAACGTACGTGAATTTCACGTGGAAGTCCGGTGTTAAAAAGTACTACTATGACTTCTACCGATTAAAATCGTTCAACGAATCGATCCTGAAAACCCCGTACATCACGATCAAAAGGAAGGGACGAGTACCTAAGAGACCTAAGGGTAATAATTCATCTTCATTTACCAATGAACTTATTTTTCGATCAACGGATCGGCGGAGAAGAAAGTAAACATAAATGAAATGTGTTTTGTCGCAGAATTCAGCGTACTATTGCCATGTTCCGGTAATAATTCGGGGATCGCGCAATTGGGCATCGGTCTAGTGATCCAGACCCGTAAGGGAAAACCTCTGACCGGAACACCTCTCCGGCTCAATCTGACAAAAGAATGCACCGTGCGCGGTGAGTGCGTGAATCGCGCCAATTACCGTCGTCCTCCTATTCGCACAGACAGTTCTGTATCGCCAATAATTCATTGCCCGATTTACCATGCGCCTATTACCCGGAACAATCGAAATCTTCGTCGTTCTCCGACCGACTCCACGGTCGACGATCGGAACAAGAATCTCTGTTCAATCCCTGAGAAGAGATAAAGATGACATTCGAATTGCTGACGATTTCGATTGTTTCCTCGTTGCACACAGTACGCCTTTGTATAATTGATCTTTTCACGAGGAAGTTTTGCCGGAGTTCAATGCTTTTCATGTAAGATGACGACGACGCGCGCGCGCACGCGCGTTACTATCTCGTAGATCGTAATTGATTAATTAACTTTTTCGGCCGTACGAACGCATGACTTTGTTCGGGCTGGAAGATATCTTGAAACTTCTGTTAATGAAAGTTATCTTAAGTGACCGAGGCATTCGTTTAACGACGGTCACCATATGCAATTGGGCTTATCTGCTTAAATTTGAGTAGGCGTAGCAGAAAATAATCGTTCAATGCTTCTTGTGTTTCTTCGCGATAAACGCCGATTGTCTGCGGTACGGTACGCGCGCTTCTCATTCGCTCCGCTATTCCTATTCATACTTATTTTTTTCATTTCCGTAGTTAATGCGCATCATTGCTGAACGATATATTCGGAATCACGGTTTCATTTTACAGCGATGCCACGAAAACGTATATTCTTCGTATGGACATGACATTTCTCGTTACAGGACCTAACCCGGGGCCTTGTCCAGATGGATACATGGGTCCGCCTCATTGCAAAAAGGCGTTGTGTTACCCGAACTGCATGAACGGTGGTAACTGTACAGCTCCTGGTATTTGTTCATGCCCCCCAGGATTCCAAGGACCGTACTGCGAAGGAGGTACTTTCAAGTCGAATTGGGATACGTCACAGAACGACAAGACTTATTTTAATATTCACGAACTAACACACCTAAGAATTACATATTCCTGCTACGCTGATTACACGACTTTAGATATGGATATAGCGGCCTTACAACCGAACTTAATAACATTTGACAAAGCTTCGTAGAACGGTGCTTGCTCCGCACCGTGATTTATACCGGTGTCGTGATGTTCTTGCTCTTCGTCGCGGAACTTCTTAATCGTTTCCAATATCTCTTCGTCTATTTTCTCACCGGATTCCATCAACGTCCGCAGCTGATCGTTGTAATGTTCCGTAATTACTGTTTCGACGGCCACGGTGCAAGCCATAGCTGCTTTCTCTCCCATGAGCGCTGTACCGGCTCCAAGCACAAATCCGGCGACGTTCCATACAGGTGTTAGGACGGTGGGCCTCACACGATATCGTCTGATCAAATCTTCGAATTTCGCGCGATGTCTCTTCTCTTCGTCCCACATGCGCTGAATAGTTGGACCGACCGGTGTTCTACCTGTCTCACACATCCACATTAGCTCAATGCTTGTCCCCGAATTCTTTGTCTCGCAGTACGTTTAAAACAGTTTCGTACCTAAGACAGCCATCTGTCCAGCATATATTCTATCGGCTCCTAATTCCCCGGCATGATCTACTCTTATAATCGAGTCTAACAGTTCTCCCGGTTTAGTCGTTCTTGCGGCTGCCGAAGTGCTAGCCAAACGAGTTCCAAGCCGTTCGACGCGTAGCATTTCTCCTAACAACGTTGAACGTAGCATTTCTTCTAAGAACACTACTCTTGACACGGAATTTCTTCTCCCTTTAAATATAGCCATTATTGGTTTCAGGTATATGCGCAGAGAAATGTTTGAACGGTGGGAAGTGTGTACAGAAAGATACTTGTGAATGCCCAAAAGGCTACTTCGGGTTACGTTGCGAGTTTTGTAAGTAGCTGGATATCACCGACGATCCTTTGTTTACCGGTGTTCCGTACGTTTCTAAACCAGCGTATCGTTTTTACAGCGAAGTGTGTAATACCCTGTTTGAACGGAGGAAAATGCAAAGGGAACAACGTGTGCAGATGTCCTGCCGGTTTTAAAGGTGATCACTGCGAGATCGGCAGAAGATCTTCGCAACGTTCGCCATGCACGAGGGCATGTAGGAATGGTACTTGTCAACCAGACAACACTTGCCTCTGCGAGCCTGGTTGGTTCGGAAAGTTATGCAACAAGAACAAGCCGTGGGCTTGAAACTACAGGCATACTTTTCTCCGGTGGTATTAAGATTACGACCGATCGGATTCGTCGAGATCTTTTACACGCGTGTTCATTTCTTATCTCCACCATTGCGTCTGATTCGGTGGCTTCTCGCGTTTAAGGCGGCAATTTTCTTAGATATTGAAAGGAAATAGGTATGAATGAAAAGAGCATTTATTTCAAGAATCCAATCGGTCGATACCAATCGACTAACGTGTATAGTTAGTAATTTACCCCACCCCAGATGTGATATGTAAAGCTGCTTTACAACATTTTATACTATTAAATATTATTTTTAAATAATATACTTTTATATTGTTAGATTTATTGTAATGATTGTAAAAAATAAAAATGTATTTTCTCCCTCGTAATTTGTATGTACTCTGTCATTGACCTCGCATCGAATCGTATCTCTGAGGGACAAAAGTCGTGTTCGAACGTTCGTAACGTTTCACCATGAAAAATACATGTATGTGAAATTAATGGGAAATAAAACGTCGCGCACCCACCTAACGTCGTTCAATCAGCGAACGTAAAAACAACGAGCGTAAAGCACTGTCGCTCTAGCCAAGTTTCAGGAGCGAGAGTTTAGGTTAGCCGAGGTTCGGCGCACCGTCCCAGGTATGCCGAGTACAGGAGTCACGCGTTTCAGGATCCAATAAGAACGTATATCGTTTGGACGCCATAACGCGTACCCCACTGGTACTGGCCAATCGCGTTATTCCAGACCCGTATACATGTATATGGTGTTCGTGTTTCCGAGGTAGCTGGCACATTTTCGCGGATTCTCACGGGAAATCGGTGAGCGCCGAATAACTATCGGTACGTTATTAGCACGTAAGCGATCGTCGAGGGCCCGGGCGATGCGCGGGCGTTGCGCATTCGCGAAATAAGGGCAATTTCGCATCGTCTGCTTGGAGTGCACCGCGCAGGCTCGCTTTAAATGGCCGCCTCGCTGCCGCGTTTGTTGTGGTGGAGATGGAGGGCTGCGTAGCCGATCGATACGGGCACTGGCGAAACTGGCCATGGTGTCTATGGCGGCTGTCGTGCGTGTTGTGGCGCGGCGCGACGTACACGCGAGTTACGCCCGGTGAGATTCGAGGAGCGCGTGAGAGCCTCGCTACGGTGCTGTGCGGCGGGTGAGCGTTTGAAACGGCTGGCGAGATGTCCGCGAGACGCGAGCGTAGGGCGTGGTGAGAGAGCGTAGCCGACGGCGGCCTCCTCCGCAGACGCGAAACCCTGAGCCCTCCCTGATCGGGTGACCACTCACGGGACACACAAGGTGCGTACGCAACTCGCGATTTTCACTGGGCCTGCTCCATGGCTCCGTGGTACCGCGGTCATGAGCTTTGCGGCCCCGGAGGTGGTCTCTTTTGCGTGTGCCCTGCGCATTTTCATTGCCCCCCCAAGTATCACCAAATAAACGCGCCGTGTGCGCGACTCGGCGCATCCTCTGTGTTCTCATATCTCGTCACTCTTTACCAAGCCTCGCCAGCCTTATTAACACTCTTCGTCTCTCTCTCGCGCTCGATCGTCGTCGATCTGTCGCGAGTCGATCTGTCAAATTCATTGTCCGGATACGTACGACGATCTTCCGCCGTCATGCCGGGCTCCAGGCTGGTTTCTCGCGCTTCGCCCGCGTTTCACGATTATCCCGCGCCTCTGCACGGACCACGCCGCTGCCGACGACGACGTTCGCGCGTACGTCTTCGCGCGCTCTCCGCTCGTCACGAGGTTCTCTTGCCCGCGTCGTTCTAGCACACGTTTCAACATGCGTGCGACTCCCCGACGTGCACGCGGGAAACGTCTCCTCTTAGAATTCAATCTTTTTTTACTTCGGCCTGTATGCAGTATCAACATCCTGATTTCTTATCTCCTATTCGTTATTACTTATCACCCAGTATATTTCAATGCCACAGTCTTCTACACTAGGAAGAGATTACACTGCAGCTGTATTATTTTTCACTACGTTCCTGTGCTTGCGTTTGTCAATTTGTAGCGTATACTCTTCTCTTGCCAAAAGTAACGCGAGAAATTCACCTTGTGTACACGAGTTTTTTTTATACATGATCCCATGATTTGTCTGTATGTAAACGCGACGATTCCCCATAGTAAAAAGTACATATCCACGAACTTTGTACAAAAATTTATACGTCCACTCTATGTTTATGAAGCTTATAGCAGGATTTTCTTATTTCGATTCAGGTGAAGGTGGTGATGTAGAAGAGGGACCGAAGATTGAAGATCGAGAACTATTTTTGCGGGGCACTGTAACACGACCGGAGACAACACGGGTGACGAGGAGAAGAAGATGGTATCTCTGCCTACCGCAGAATCGGGCACAATGGACAGAATCTCAGATGACGATGACGACGAGCCGAGTAGCGAGTCTGAAACGTACGAGGATGGTGACCTCTTGTCGGCTGCTATGGATGATGACGTTACGGCCCAACTCGCCGCTGCAGGTTGGCAAATCAAACACGCTAATGGTGATTTCCATTTTTTTGCTTTTTCACCTATCCAGTTGTTCACGTTCTAATCAGTCTCATTTACAAGAGAAAAGTAACACACAGGGTGCACCAATAATGTTAAATGGTCGATTGCCATATTATATAGGTACGAGAAACGAAGTAACTTACAAGTCATCTTTTTCAAACAGTTCACGTGCTCACGGTTTCTCATTAACGATGTACATAGCCCAGATTCTTGTAAAAGATAATTCACACAGTACAATCGAAGAGTGCTTTAATTTCAAGCATCATAAGCTTACATTCTACGACTCAACAATGGTCAGAGAATTGAAGCCAATTTTAACTAGCAAAAAACGTAAATTCGCTCAGTTTGAATGTATGTGAAGAGAGTTCAAGGAGTTTTCTTCAGTTCTTAACATCTTCGTCTGCTTACACCGAATCACTTAAAGACAAACGTAGTCACAAACGTCAATAAGTTCATTACCTCTCTCATTTGTAGTGCAGCATGAATTTCGTAATTTTAATTTGGTCGTTTAACATGACATCATTGACTTAAATGCATTTTACATTGTTCGTGTACTGTACTATTTGCTTCTTATTTTTATAATATTCGATGTACATACATGGAAACACTATCTTTTGTGTTAATCTTTATTTTGTGTCTTGTGTATAATCGTTTTCATCATTTCTTTGTGCGTTTATAAAATACCATAGCTCTCACATTAGCTCGACATTCATCGTCTACATTTGTGTTTGGTATTTCTCATAGAAATTACGTACTGTTTCGTAGAGACTCATTTTCACCCTGTCAGTTGAAGAGACCTCAAGAGTACATCTTTTTCGAGCAAATAAATTGATCTCTGAAGTTTCACGTACTTTCAGGCAACGTAACATACTCTTGAACATGATGCACGTTTCACGTCATTACCGCTTTTGCATCTCCTCTTTATGTTTTGTATGCTGTTGATATACGTAGCGAAATGTCAGTAGAATAGTAACGGGCAAGAAATTCTATTACACTGAAGAAAGATGTCTCGTAAGAAGTTGGAGATGTGAATTCTCGATGTTTCGCGCCGCTTTGAACATTCTACTGACATTTCATTCGGTGTGTGGGACTGCGAAATCGGGAAACACACGGTCAATGATACGCATATTTAGGGCCGGTCGGTGTGGCCGCAGCCGCAGCTATCGTGTCTGCGAAAAAGAGGAAACGGCCCCATAGCTTCGAGACGAATCCCAGTATCAGGAAAAGGCAGCAGAACCGACTTCTGAGAAAACTACGAGTACGTCCGTTCAATATTGTTAGATCTCATCTCCTAGTCGACCACGTCGTCGCTGTTTTCTACAATTCTTCGTATCGATTTCACGTGTGTATCGTTACAGCAAACCATAGACGAATTCGCAACACGAGTTGGACAGCAAGCAGTAGTATTAGTAGCTACGCCAGGGAAGCCAAACAGTAGTTACAAAGTATTTGGAGCGAAACCGTTGGAGGACGTGGTAAAAAATTTAAGGAACGTTATCATGGAGGAACTCGAAAACGCGCTCGCACAACAAGCTCCGCCACCAGTACAAGACGATCCATCCTTATACGAGTTACCGCCTCTCATAATAGACGGCATACCTACGCCCGTGGAAAAAATGACCCAGGCTCAGCTGAGAGCATTCATCCCTTTAATGTTAAAGTATTCTACAGGTAGGGGTAAGCCCGGTTGGGGGAGGGACAGTACGCGGCCACCGTGGTGGCCGAAGGAGCTACCGTGGGCAAACGTGCGCATGGACGCAAGAACCGAAGACGAGAAACAGAAGGTTTGTAGAGGAAACACCGAAACGATCTTTGACCGTCGATCGCATTACGAAGAGAACGTTTTCACAATTATTGTAACGTCTGGTTGTACCGTTTTTAGATTTCCTGGACGCACGCGTTAAGGCAAATTGTAATAAACTGTTATAAATTTCATGGAAGAGAAGATCTTCTGCCTGCGTTCAACGAAGAGGACGACAAGTCGAACGTACTGATACAACAGTCGACTCCTCATTCGTCGTCGCATCAGTCGCACCAGTCGAGCCAGGGCCAGGGTGGACAGTCGCAGCAGCAGCAACAGACGGTGGGAGTTGTTCGACTCAACAGCACGGATTCATCTAAGGGAAACTCTTCGCCAGCACAAATCATTGCCGCGTCTCCCACGGCTCTTGCCACTGCCACTCAGGTGGGAGTGGATAGAGTACAGAAACGAGAAAAGGAGCAAATTTGAACGAAGCAACATGATCGGGAAACATGTTTCGAGTCGTCTTACACTGTCCTCGACGGCGCTCGACGCGCTCGCTTGAATCCGTGACTCGTGTATCGAGAGCGAGATCATGATGTTTCTTTAAATTCTAGTCTTTACCACTGATAGAAGACAATTCGGATTTAGAATTCGTTTGCACGCGACTTACGTTCACCTTCATGTGTTTAGTTTCCCTTATTTGAGTTTGATCTTTATTTTTCGCCTCGTAAAATGTTTCATTTCGTTACACACCGTTCTGTTCGGGCGTTTCAATGTGTTTCGTTGTTTAGAAGATCGCCAGAAGGAAAATCATTATCAATCGTTTCTCTGATTCAGATGACGGCTCAGTATCCAACGGCAGTCTTACAAACTATAACGAACCCTGACGGCAGTGTATCCATCATTCAAGTCGATCCTAGTAATCCAATAATCACGTTACCAGACGGTACGACCGCTCAGGTTCAAGGCGTCGCGACCGTAAGTAATTCCAGACGTTCTAGTTATTCCTGAGACCCATGCGGGATCGAGGAACGGTCGAGACGGTAAAATGAATCGTTTTTCTGTTAGATCCACACGAGTCAAGGGGAAGTACAAGCGCTCGCTGAAGTCGCGGGCGGCGCGGAAGGTACCAGCGTCGCCGTCGACCTGAACAGCGTTACGGAAGCGACGTTAGGTCAAGACGGTCAGATCATTCTGACGGGGGAAGACGGACACGGTAAAACAGTTTTCTATAGGCTCTGCACCGTCGCCGGCCAGGAGCTACTTGAACAGTGAATTCATTTTTACTGGCCCAGGACCCTTTGTTGTTTTGCATGCTGTCTGCTACGCTCCATTCAAGAAAAATACCCACGTGTTCTACTATGTACAACGAAAGTAGAATATCGATTAGTCGTTCTCTTTCTCTCTCCTTTTTTTTGGTACTGTACATAAACGCGGTTTCACCTCGGAGCTGTGCACAGCTTTATTTTAATTTCGTCTTTAAGAATACACGATACATGGAAGAAAAAACCAAGAAGGGGTATCGCTCGGACTATACGGCGTGTCCTACTAGTTTTACGAATTTACTTTACGTTTAAACGTCGCGCGACGATAAAATTGAGTTACGAACAGACAAACGTCGTGCGACAACAAAATTGAGTACAGAGACATCGCTCTCGATGTTGTATCGTTTCATTATTGCGTTTGTGTACCGCGCAGACCATTCTATTCTCGAGACAGCGACGTTCATCAGATCTTTTTCGCGCATCAGAAGATAGACAATGAACGAACCGATGGAATTAAAGATTTGCATGTCCAGTGATCGATTATGTTATTTCAACGAAAAACAATAGAATCCTTTCGGTGAATATGTCTGTATATGTATCTAAGTGTTGCATGCGTAGTAGAGAGAGGAAAAGATGAATGAAACAGAATTTGATAACGTTCATTAAATGTGTAAGCCGGGGGTAAACTCGATCGGTTCCCATGGATTCTTAAGATCATTTAAATTGAACGAGAAAAATAAAGGAAGGTATTTCACGATCACTGAACGAACCTGTCCCTGTTACTACGATCTATCACTTATCGTTATTATTGAAAATTGGTTATTCACTTTATTTAAAACGAAGAGAAATAAAATGCTGTACATAGAGTATTTTTTGTTGATGTTTTTATTATTTTATAGTCGTCGTCTGTGCGCAGGCCCTCGTTTAAACTACCCGCGACCGCGATACTCCGATTCGTTTAAACGAATTCTCGTATTTCGAGTTGAAACGAGATCCGCGTTTTCTCTTTACGACCGACGTGTTTTGTTCGCGTCTCGATTTTAGGGAACAACGTCTTAAACATACGTTGCTTGTTTGTTAATGCCTCACTTATTCCGAGATTAGTACAAGTAGTGAGTTACGTTTGCACATTAACGACACGGTACGTTAAAAGGGTGTGACGAAAGAGAAAAAGATACCGCTGAACGTGGTGCCGTTCGTTTCTCAAAATTGAATTAGACGTTTAACGCATAGTAAGTATGTTTCATTTTCTTCAGCGCACCCTCTCGATCGAACATTTTTTACACGGTACGACAGAAATTACAATTCACCGTTTAAGTTTTAGAACGTATCTGTATAGATGGTCTGTCAACTGTTGGACTGTATCGTAAACTGGTGGCACGAACGAATGCATTGCGAAACGAATTGTAAGAATCGGGAAGTTACGGGATCGTAGATTCTCGAATCGAGGTAACACCAGATGTGGGAAGTACAGGTACAGAATATACGTACGCGTGTCTCACGTTTCGAACAATGAGTTTCGTTGAGGGTCGCAGGCGAACGACGCTTGGTCTTTGACTCGGATTCGAGGAACACTGTTGATCGTTCACGCGGGAATTAGATAGATCTGCGACCCTGGCTTCGTTCCTCGGTCTTCCCAGTTTGCTATACAGAAAAAGTGCCTGGTCTCTGGGGCAGAACACAGGACTGTTGCTTGCTTGTTTCAGGGTATCCTGTGTCCGTATCGGGGGTGATAACGGTGCCGGTGTCGGCTAGTATGTATCAGACTATGGTTGCCAATATTCAGAGTGACGGTACGATGCAAGTAGTCACGCCGGTGGTTCAAGTGCCGAAAGTTGAGCCAGGAAACGGGGAAACTAGCATCGAGGCTGTCACTATTCAAGGGCATCCGATGACGATGATAAACGCGGCGGGCGAGCACCAAGTCCTTCAAGTGATATCGTTAAAGGATGCGAACGTCCTCACGAAGGCCATGCAGGCCGAAGTCGTGAAAGACGAGGACAGTCAACAACAGCAAACCGTCTCTAGTCCAGAATAAACCGTTTACCAACTAGTTAATGAACTAATGAAATAATAAGCTTCTATGTCGACACCAAAAATGCGACAGGTGCACATTAGCGGTGTTCACAGAAAGAAAGAGTGAGAGAATATTAGAAACGAATATGTGTTATTAATATTTAAGAGAAAAATGATCGTGTCTTTACTGAATCACTGTCTAGCGTGTCATCCAAGTTCGAGAAACAAGTAGAAAACGAGCGAACAGAGGCGAACACACGTTCCAAGAGTGAAGATACAATTGAATGTTCGACGACTCGCTGGGACTTGAACGTAATCATATTTGTATTCAAGATTCATCGTAGACAATTAGAGGTATCCACTTTGTAATTCAATCTCTCGACGATAGTACTAATTTTTATTAGAGAGTACTACTCGCACTCGCAAGGGTGAACGCGAATAACGGTGATTCCGAAAGGGTATCGTCGACGTTGTCTTATTACTGTAGTATAACAGCAACGTCTCCGGCTTCCGAGGATTTTATCTCGTCTTCGGAGCGGACACGTGGAAATATTTTTCGTCTAGTCTTATCGTACATGTAGCGTCGGGCATACCAAAGAGATCTACGCGAATTATTCTCACGCAAACTGTGTGTCGTTTAATAATCCGAGAAAGAAGAGTGTCGACCTTGTAAAACAGTGTAAACGGTGGCTCTCGTTAGTATTCCGACACATCTTCAATGTTCGACCGAACAACGTAATTTCGTCTGGTCAAGTATCAAAGGAGTTATAGTCTTGCGATGTGTACGAATATTCATGGGAGCATACACAGTCGCGAGTCCATTCGTCGATGAATAATCCTTTTAACTTAATAATACTTTTTAACGGTAACGATAGGATTTTCCATATTTGTAGAAAAGAACCTTTTCAACGTTCATCGAAGAAACGTAGTCGACGTAGATACTTATTTGTCAGGATTCCAATTCAAACGTAACGTCTGAGTTCATCGAATTCGGCCACCGAATTGAGGAAGCAAGGAGAGAACGTAGCCTATTTTTGTGACGAACCGATACGTGTAAAAAAAACAAAAAAATGAACGTTTCTTTTGCCGATACAGCGACGTAACGCTGCATATTTAATATACATTTAACGATCGACAGTAGTGATAAATGAGACGAAAAAAAAAAAAGAAGTCAAGCATTTCTGACGGGTACAAATAGGCTGTAAGACGTAATTTTTTGAAAAATAAGACACACGGATTTGAAGTCTCGATGCACACCCATATAAAAAAAAATTACTTTTATCGTATCGAATACAGCGTTGTATTGGAGAATTATTTTTAAGCGGCTCCGTAAAGAATACTATACGTATATGTACAATTCGTCGTGAGGCGAAACTAAAGATTAAACTCTTTCGTTTCCGCTCTGTTTTGCTTTGGTGAACGATGCAGAGTGTAGAAATGAAGAGTACCGTTCATTGTTCTTCACGTTGAGTTTTGGCTAATTTCATTAGGAATCTATTTAATTCCGTTGTCGGTGAACGAGAGAGAGAGGAGAAACGAGAGACCGTAACGCATTTAAATGCCAACCCACTTTTATACAATGTCTATACCTAAAGTTAGGAAGAATGTTATTTTTCCGTGCAATCTTGGTTCAATGTCGCGGTGTCCAATTTTGTAAAGACGAGCGATCGACTTTCCAGACTCAATTCTTTCCGTTACCCCAACGATTTTCGCATGTAATTTTTATCAACTCGTGTGCATCATACCTAAGTACATACACGTACTTCGAGTTTCTATTAGACGATTCTAATTACCGAGTTTGCGATACTTGTTTAATCAACGTTCACTGAGACATGTGTCTCTATCGATGAAGTTCCTGTAGTTCTGTAATACGCGTTTCTCTTCGACGAGAGAAACGAGAGCGTACGTCAGGAGCAGAGTCGTAACGTTGAAACAACAAACTGCCTTCGACATCCAAGCACGAGAGATACCAGAAACAAAAAAGGTTTTTATAACATTATCGATGAAACTTGAATTTAATAATTATCAATGTGAACAGTTCACGAAGGCTAGATACTAATTGTTACATTGTTTTTTTAAAAACTGTGGTCGTCACGTGACGAAGTGTAATATATCGACACTCCCATGTAAGACCGTGTCGTACTTTTTTTTTTCTTCGTTCGTAACGAATCACATAAATTAAGTTCAGTGTCATTTGAAAACAAAAAAATGTAATACCACTTTAGATAATTATAGATGTACGTGTACATGACTCTGTCGCTGTGTATCTTACAACGTAATCTGTACATATCTGGTCGTTGTGTCACCTCTCTGCTTCGATTACTTTTCATGTAAAAACAACAGAAAAAAATTGGGCAAAAAGAATTTAGGGGCGACGCGAGGAATCAACGGAAGTTGCAATTAAAGCATAATGCATACATATAATTTTGTCTCCTTGATCTCGCGGTTCTTTCGAACGAGAGACGGTAGGACGATGAATAGCTGTGTATTCCTCTTCTCTTTCAATATCGAAAATGTATTTTGTACATGAAGAAGGTGCGACAGTGTCGCGTTACAAATATTTATTCAAATGAACGTACAACACGTGTAATGATAATAGGTACTATTTTGCCTTGATTCAAAAATTGATTCTATATTTATTCGCGAAAAATCTAATAGAAAGCACCTTCCTACACATAAATACTAATGTATCTAGTCTAATAGCTTAATGTATCTCATCGATCGATTGAAGTGCTAGTTCGGGTTTGTCATAGCCAAGTTCTTCGAGCGTATTGATACCTAGTTCGTCCAAAGTGGGCCTGATCTCTTGCAGAATGTATGGATAGATCTCCTTCACATTAGACCCACACTTGTCCTTCACAGTTTCCAAAATCCTAACAGCCAAGGCAAAATCGTTTACGCGTCTGCAGGCTCTCATTCCTGCGCAGATAATGCTGGGATCGGGCACCAGGTCCATACCTGCAGAAATACAAAATTCATAGATACAATGAACGACGCGTATATACGTCTGATCGTCGAGACGATTAAAAACGGAATTAAACGAAAATCGTTTTTTCGACACAGAGAGATATAGTACGCGACTCAAATTAAGGTCGTTACGCCACAGGACGGTTCTACTGAGTTACCGATGAACGACAGTCGCGGGTATAGAGCGAAAAGATTTGAGAAGATTTTAAAAACGATTGCTAACCAGCCAGTTTATTAAAGACTTGACGAATTTCCCATCCGTCGACGTCTGAACGACTCAGATATTGCACGTATCGATCGTTGAATTCCTCCTCAGTTTCTACCGGTCCATCGTGCGACGTACGAAGGTTTTGAGTCGCCGGGAGAGCACGCGGAATTATTGAATTCCTAACGATGCCGTTTACTTGTCTTCCCACAAATCGCAACATTGTTCACGAGATTTTCACTCAAAGTCCAGCGACGACAAGTGGAAGTGTTCACGATTGCTTGCGTAACTCCGACAACGAATGGAAGTTCGTCTCGGATTAGTATTCGTGCATTCGATACTCGATACATCGTGGGATTTCTAACCCATGCGCGCTACGAGCTTTCAGCTTCAGACTCTCCGTGTTCAGACTTATCGTGTGAGTCGTGAGGTGTGACACAGCTGTACAACCTATACTTTTTTGTTTCGATCGTAAATACTGTACAGCTCGTGGATCGTAGATCGAATTCGTGAAGTAACATCGCCGAGCTGAAAAATAATCGTGTTCGCTATGTCTCAAGAGAAAGGTATATCGATGAAATTACTCTGTATAACATGTTCAGCTTCTAAACCGTTTCCGTTTTTAATTCACACAACATCTCTCGTGTCCATGTGACAAATCTGCTACGACACGCACAATCGGCAGGTGTCTTATAAAAGAAAAAAGATGAAATAAAATAACGAACGATTGTAGCTCGATCACACGAGAAAAGCATTAAGAATGTTATTTTTTCATTTTATGGCTGAGCAAAGCAAGCGGAAAAAGTCGCGGGTATCGCAACAAGAAGAAGGTAAACATTGGTGACAAAGGAAGAGAAGTCGTGGAGAACATAAAAGAAGACAATTTGGTTTTACAACTCTTCGGAGCGTACGCGACTGAGTTAGACGACAGGCACGATCGTTACGAGAGAATTGTAAAAATTGGCAGAGATATCACTATCGAAAGCAAGAGAATCATTTTTCTTTTGCACAGTATAGATAAGAAAAGTAAGCAGGAGAGCGTACTGGCCGAGGCCGAGTCGAGATTGAGAGCTGTTGCTGAGAATAATTTTAAAGCGATCGCGCGAGAATTAGAAGGTCAGGACCCATACTTTTATTTGAAAGCTTATCGTAACGGTTCGGAGGAATACGTGGAAGCTCTCACGTTTTTCCAATACTTGAGCAATAGCGATATGGGAGGTTGGGTAGAATTGAAAAATGCCCTTAGTTACATAGATTCTGAAAAAGGTGAAGCGAAAAGTTTCCAGGCTTTAGTCACACCGTCCGAATATATCTTAGGCATTGCCGATTTGACCGGGGAACTAATGAGACAATGTATCAACAACTTGGCGCTAGGAGAAAGTGCTAGTTGCTATCAGACGCGGAATTTCGTTCGGAACGTGTATAAGGGGTTTCTCGGTTGCTCGAATTCATCGAGCAAAGAGATAAACAGAAAAGTTTTCACGCTTAAACAGAGTCTTCAAAAAATAGAAAACGTTTGTTACACGATTAAAGTAAGAGGATCAGAAATACCGAAGCATATTCTCGTGGACGTGGCTATCGAGGACATAGAGAGCGACGAAGGGTATCAACCATATTAAATATATACATGAATGTCGTATGAAACATAAATACAGTCGTAGCTCGTCCATTACTGTGCGATTATTCGTAAATGAAAAGCGTATAACAGCAGTGTCGTTGTCAGTATTTTCTCATGAAAAATGAACATATTGTCTAAGTTTAAAGGTGTACAAAGTTTTGTAAACTGTACGATTTTTATACTTTTATTTTCTTACGTTAACATATAAATATGTATTTATGTTTCTCTCTCAAACAAATATAAAAATATGCATTCGACATTGTATAAGTTCACACGTACGACTAACATTGTTCAGATAATTCCAGAATTCGGTCGTGCAAACATTAATCATTTAGTTCCTAATCGCTTTCGTCGTCTAGTTCATATTCACTGTCGATATCGGTCGAAGGGTCGTATTCGGACTCGTCGACGGATTCGTCGACAGATTCTTCTCCAGACAAATCTTCTACATCGGTGAAATTGTTCAAAGTTGCTCGTAGTCGAGGTTGCTGACGATTTCGTTCGTTACGTTTATTCATAACAGTATGTTTGAACCGTTGCCTATGATCAGAATTCTTACGGTAGCACTTCATGCCGTAAGGGCATTCTTCTCTGTCATCGGGCATGTCATAATCAGGGTCACCGACGTGACTAAATTCAGCTTTATGTTGCGGGTTCTTCCTGTAAACAGATTTGATTTTGAAACATTTCAACAAGCAGGAAAAGTACTCGAACGAACTTGTACCTGTAACAATCCTTTCCATATTTGCATTTCTCTCTTCTAACATTCGTTACTGCACTGCTCAAAGCTTCTTCTAGTCGTTGAACCTCTTGAACAGAAGATCGTGGATCTTCTTTATTCTCTTGGCTCGCAAGAGCCAAGTTCGAGGTTTCTCGAGCACGTGCGCCTTTCAATCTACTTTCCGATGAGCCAGTTTCTTTCAACGTTGACGGCCCTATCCCTGTACACTGAGTCGAACCCATCGAATTACCGTTCGACTCCTGCATTTGATCTTCGGCTCTGTCAGATGATAAGTTCTCTTCATCTATTTCAATCGTGCCGTTATTGTCGGTCGTTTCGTGCAACACGTGACACGAAGAGGAATGGACGTTATCACCTTCTCCTGAATCCGAACAAAACCTTTTCGTATGCACAGACTCCGTATCTTCGTCAACCTATAATTCAACTTTTTCAGGCGCGATGTTAAATCCTTGATACTCACAGTTCTAAGTACAAACTCATACTCTTCGTTTCAACGTGTTCTCCTCGTTGCTTTCCATTTTGGTCGCCACAGCTTGAACTTTGAACCAGCATTTTTCCGGTACCAGAGAACACATGTCTCCGGGTTTCAACGGAACCGTGGTACCCAATTTAACAAGTTGCCATCGCGTAGAATCGATAGACTTCACGTAACAGGGGGCGATCTGATACTAGAAAATGACTCCTATAGACGACCACTGGCTGGATGGGACGAAGAAGACAGCATCGTAAAGACGCTTCGATCTTACCGGCGTCAAGGTAATTTCGTTCTCAGATTTTACGTTTATCGTTATGGCATGTTTCACAACCCGGTCGTCGTCAGACTGAAATTCAGACAAATTACGCACAGCCACAGTTGATGAACACGTTGAACGTATTGAAAGACGGTTAGATGCTGTACAGTTGATTATTTATGTATGTCGACAAGGACCGCTGGGCACCATGTGGCGAACCATGCATGCCGCTAGACGTGAACGCATGCGTCAGTCGCGTGTCGCGTCCTGTGCGTCGGTAACCGCGTAGTGCGTACGACACGGCCACGATTTCGAAACGTTTCGCGGTCAACACACAGTTCCAGAGTCGATCAATTCAAAATCAAATCCTAATTAAGTACTTACATCACTCGTTACACCGCGGCCTATGAGGTTTTCGCCTATCCGTAAGTCCACTGTTTGTACCGAGTCGTTGTCCACTCGGAGTATTTGTAACTTTTTCATTTCGACAGCAGTTACTTAATCAAATTGACAGCAAATTTGGCAATTGTACGACTAGGGGAAAGTTTCACATTGCAATTCAGTCATGGGGCAGAATTTTGTTCCAATGGTCAAACACGCGTCAGGCAAACGTTAGGAGAGAAAGTAAAAAAATTAGCGAGGAGATCGAGCTTGTGTGTGTGTGTGTGTGTGTGATCGCAGTCGGCGTAAACGATGGCATGTATATATTGCATGTACGTGAACGTTTCGAATTATCTGTAAAACATTTGGTTGCGAGGCATTATCGTGGTATCATCGTACACGTCCGGGTACAGTATTCTCATCACAAAGAAAATTACACGAGGGCACTAACAATTAATTTTTTTTTCCTTCATTTGTAATTACAAAGAATGTACACTCTTATAAATAATTGAAGTAAAACGTGAAAAGAATCAGAAATTCGATGCGACGTCGTGTAAAACTATGCGCGAAAACATTTTCATAAAAAAACTGCCAAGTACGTGTAAAACGATCAATTGTCCTTATGTTAGGTGCATCTGCATAGACGTGTGTAATCAGCCAGACGATGTCGTAAATTCACAGCGTTAGATTTCTTGGTAATCGTACGATCATCATACACACACGTGTATGTACGTACAAAATACTACGAAGCAGTGTCGCCGTAAACTATGTGTATGTATAAACTTTATTTACGTAAAGAAATCTTGTTCGCTTTACGAGAAGGAAAAACGTTTTTAAACGATACAACGATTCAACAAGTAAATCGGGTGATCGTAACGTACGAAAGTCGAGGAAAGGTCTGCTCGTTGATCGAGGCGATTTTCGGTCATCGTTCTGACACAATTTTCGGTGGTGATCAGTCACGAGGTAAAACGTATTCATTTCGTTATAAATTCGTTACTCGGTTTACGAAGTAGGAACATTATAAATCTTCGGATCCGACAAATGAAACGTAGCTCGTGGTATCTAACAGGCCAGCTTCCGCGATCACTATCACCCGCTATCGGCTCGATAAGGCCTATCGATACAGTGAAAAACGTTCGACATCGACGAGTACAGTCAAAGGTGTTGGCGTTCGCCTTCTTTGGACGCGCGACGACTCGGCAACGCGATTCACGGCGTTACCACGATTTTATTCTCACTTTCGTTACTCGTTCACTTACAGTCAGGTAACTATTAGTCAGTGTCAAGCATGTACGCATCACGTATCACAGTATACCTCGAGGAGTTTAGACGGAAATCAACAATTTTAGCACACATACGTAATAGCTATGTTAATCATTCTCATTATTACTCATTGAAAAGCGTTTTCATGCTCGATGCAACGCTATCAAAATTCGTCACGTCTCCTGTCTCATCAATCATTATCGGCAGTTACTATGAGAGTCACGACGCTGCTTCTGCAATAATTGCACGCGTTTAAAAATTGTACGAACGTAAAAATTCAACAGGGCTCTCGTCGTGTCCTCTTGCTCACGGTGCATCGTGTTAAAACGTACAGCTTTCGAAACGGTCTCGTATCTATCTGTATAAAAACAGAGTTATCGTCGGCACATAAGTGTATACACGCGATTATGCACATACATTTTACAATTCGTTTACGTGCAATTACGTACCGTGTATATGTATACATACGAATGTACAGAAAAATATGTTTCGAGGTACATTCAATACTTCTATAAAAAAATGTCCGGAAAGGAATGATACGCTGTGGCCAGTGATTCTCCGTGATTAAAATGTAAATTTATCCTTATTACGCTTTCAACAATCGTGAAGTAGTGTCGTGAACATCTTTTAAAATGCGTCTGATGATTCGTCGTATTATTGTCCGAGAACCACTGGCTCGTAACAATTGGCCAAACGAAACGTTTCGATTCAGCGTTACAGCCTGCGTCTTTGTAATCGCCGAGTTATCTTTTATTCTGAAAGAAATGCCCATGAAAAAGTGTGAAAAAACTTATCGCCCTCTTCGTACCTATTAAAAATGACGACGATGCAATATCGTTTTTATTACATCTCGACTTCAATATCTCAACGCGTATATATTTTTATTCATTTACTTTTATAATGCAACGAATAGTATCGCCGTATGGAATATGTATGTAACATGAAATACTGTCTATCGTTAGAATATTAAATAACTATCGTCTATATTCGTACGTTTATAGTTGTTCAATTATTCTGTCGGACTTTTCTATCTGAGAACTATATAAAAACGTTCGTTTATTCGTTGTTTTCAGACGTGAACTCGACTAGCTGAATTCTAAAATAATTATTGTAGTACACACGACAGAAGTCAGAGTCGATCGAACTTTTAATAAGTCATCAGTCAGACACATTTTTTCTAGCTCTCAGATATGAAGTCGTGTTTTGTATCAACTCTCAACTGATCGTACATCGACCGTTGCACTCGTTACAGATCTCCAACAAAACAAACAAGTTTCGTAGAAATAACATACAACCGTCTGTCGCAGGACGAGTAAAAATGTTCTATCCTCGCAACATCCGACCTCGTCACATCGAGGCATAATTCAGTTAGCTCCGGCAACGAGAGAAATGAAACGTACAGGTAACGTGTCGTCAATCGATACTTCTTAAAACGAATGACACGAAACTCGAATGAAACGATACTTGGATCAAATCGAACGAACCGACATGGACATTGCTTTAAAATCGATCCAGTTCGCTCTTTACCCGCGACAAGAACGATCGATTCCCGAACAACGAGCATGCAAACATGCTCGTAACATCTCGTATTTACACATTGCTCTGACTGATTACAACAGTTGCATCGCTGCTATCGATCTGTACAAAGCAAACCATTTGAATTCCTGTCTCTTTAAACAATTACATGTATGTACATACGTTAAACTTTGATGATACAAAAGTTTCTGACAGTACGTACAAGCACTCTGACATCAACACCGTTCAATTGAAATTTGTTCTGCTAACGAGATATTATTGGAATGATTCTTAGTACAGTACGTAAGATCACACATGTGTATACATATATACACGTACACGCGATTTACTCGTCACTTTCGCTGGAGTCTCTTATAAAATTTGTGGTATGTTACGAAATTTGAACGTCTTCGTCGTCGATTCGAGGAAGAGAAGGAGACGATCGGTGTCCCATCCGAAATTGATAAGTGACTACGAATTAAGAACGTCTCTAAACGGTCGACCGTTTAGAGACGCACCGGTTCGGCTCGCTGATGTCTCAAACGATACTGGAATAATTTTCACTCGGCCACACGTAGTACAAATGAGGGTGGCGGGTACACGGCTGATACTGCGTCTCTGGAGATTGCGGCGTACGCGTCAAAGGGACGTGTTCTTCTTCGTGGTTCGAGGAAGTGTCAACGTCTGGTTCTGGCTATACTATGGTACCGCCACTTTCTGCGGGACTGACAACGTGTAGAGCACTTCCGACTTGTCCTATTCCTGGCTGCAATTAGAAGAGACGCATGGGAAATGGAAATGGCTTGGAAATTCATTACCGACGATCATCCCGCTTTTCGTTTTACCGTAAGCGTGTAGAACACATTCAAACTCTACGGATGCATCGAACAAGGAAACAGTGCGATGCGTAGCACAAAGGTATCATCGGTATTAATTTAAAAACGCCTCGTTAGCAAGACGTGTATCAACTAAATAGTAACGAGCAATATATGAAAAGGACACGCTGTGGTCGATCAGTGCGGATTGAAAAAAATGAGGAAAGAACGATAAATCATTATACGTACCATGCCATTTAAATTGTCGGAAGATTCGTCCATGATCGTCTTGCATCAGCCAAAGCATGGTACAGAATATTAATCTTTCCGATCAAAGTAAAAAGAGATCAATGCCCCACCGGCTCAAGAAACAAGCACAAGCATTTTCCGACTAAATTATAAGACTGTCACTATGAAATAAGCGATGCATGTATGTACTGTGTGACGATTGTCGCAAAAGTCTTAAGTGGCTAAACCGCTATAACACGAAGGAGTACTCTGACGATGAAAATGCTCGTTGCGAAACGCCAGGAAACTGTGTCTAAACGATTTTAGAAACGATCGCGCGATCGTGTAAACTATTGGAAATAATGAAATTGCAGTATAAATCGTAATATTTTCTTTTCTGTTTGAACGCATGCATGTTCCTACGTACATATGCCCAGCGGACTCGATGTTTTTCTCCTGGAGCTTTGCCTTGTTCGCATTCTGTATAAAACTCAAGCAGGAAGCAAGCGGCAACGTTTCATTCAAATTTTTGCTTTATTGTACAACAAGGCAATTCATCGTTTCGAACAAAGGATCAGGTGTCGCATTATTATGATCCGGGACGATGGTTCAACTAAACAATTCATCGACTTCCTATCGTTCGCTAAGCTAAGCTAACAACACTTTACAGGAAAGAAAGGAGGATTTCAAAGGGGCCTGCCCTGTTACAAAATCTTATGGTCGGGGGGTGGGGGTTTCTCGGGGGGGCGCAAACAACGTTACTCTCGATGATGCAAACCAAACATAAATATATTCTATTTATAATCGTACTAATATATTTGTTTAATATTCATAGAACATTTTGACCAGACGATCGTTAGGCACAAATATAAATACGTAGAGGTTTATACTATGAATGAACTTCTGTTCTCAATTTCCTTGCGTCGTTGAAAAAATATGTATACGATCTCGGCCGGTTCGCTCAATGAGCCAAGTTGAAAAAGGAAAATCTTGTGCAACGGTCGCGCGCGAAAACAATACTAAACCTCGTATCACCATGCAACAGAAGGGCAGAGACTAGAAATTTCATAAACACAAAGTACAAGCCGATACGTGAAATTCATCCATTCATAGTACCATCCATCTGTACATCTCTGTAATCATCGTACAATACAGACTAAACGATATTGCTAGCGCGATCTTTAACGTGTTCCAATGGCACCTTTTAATTCAACATAACGCGTATTGCTTTGGATAAAATACGAACTAGGATTTAATTTGTAAATATACGGAAAAAAAATACATTTATCTTCAAATAAAAATCTTCAAAATATCAATATTAATATATATATATATGTACGTATATGTATGTATGTACGTAAATACACATGGTTCCGCAAGAACAATCTTCGTCGCAATACCAAAAAAAAGAAAAAGAAAGAGAAAACAAAGAAAAAATAACGATATTAACCCGCCGTCGCGTCTTTTACACTTGATAAAGTCACGTGTCTAAAAGAACATGTCTCACTTGGGTAATTACAATCGAACAATGGTAGCAGGGGAAGATTGCGCCAGAGCGTTTGTCATACTTTGTATCGTTCCTCGTTCGACAATGATTCAAAATTCTATTACTATTTAGTATGTACAAATTGGAATTGATCTCTAAGAAAAACCCTAGTTGACGAAAATTGCGATAATAATAATTGAATATGGGTTACATCATAGATCGTTAGATCGCAAGGAATTAATGTTGGTGTAGGGATTGGTATGATGATGTGGCCTGTGCAGAGTGCTGCTGATGGTGAGAGGACCTACCATGTGACCAGGCCTCGCCCACGTGTAGACGTATCCATCTTGACACGCCGTCACGAAGCAATCCTCCCTAAACACTAACTCAGTCAATCTTTCGTGGGCCAGCTTCTTGCACACCAGTGGTTCGAGCACTGGGCACTCGTCGAACCTAGGACACCGGGCAGTTCCTATCAGTCTCATAGGATCGTCCGTCACTGAATTAATCTTTTTATTCGCACCTACTAAACTTCCACTGACACTGTTCATATTACTACTATTCGTGTTCGAATTGGCGGTAGCCTTGTCTCCGCCACTGTTCTGCATTATCGTGCTATTGGACGCACCACTGCCTCTCATCGTCAGGCTGAAGTTCCTTTTGTGATTATCACCTTTGCGCTCACCGAACCCGAGGCCTGCTAGCCTCTGCGTCAACGAATTTACGGTCGACACCGCCGTATTTGTACTCATGCTATTATTACTACTTTCATTATTACCACTCGCGTTCTCTTTGCAATTAATATTGTTCAAGTTATTATGTTTAGAATTGTTCAAATGATTCATCGTCGCTCCGTTCCCACTGCTGACCGTTCCAGTGCCAGGCGTAGCTAGGACACCGGAGCTAGTCGTGGATGGCCTCTGTTTCGCGCACATCGGTTGCCTCAGCACATCCTCCGTGATGTCCCACAAGCACAGTTGAGTGTCCTGCGAGACGCTGCCTAGCCTGTAGCACGTCCCGCCCGACACTCTCAATTCCGAACCGCAAGAGTTCCTGTTCGAATGAACTCCTTGCGACGTCGTCGTCGACAAACGATTAGATCTCTCGTGGAAATGATTGTGGTTGTTGTGTGGCAATGCCTCGTCGTCCGAGCCACTGAAGTCGGGATCGTGGTCTCCGTACGACGTGGTATAAGGGTCGAACGCCACCACGCTCACCCAGCTGTGGTGGCCCTGGCCTCTGGCCACCACCCTCTTCTCGTGAAAGCTCCAGATGGTCACCAGATCGTCCTCGCCACCCACGACGACGTATCTTCCATCCGGGGACCAGCATACGCACAAGAATCCGCCGAAATAACTCCGAGCCGAGCCCACTAACTCCATCGTGTTGTATTGGAACACTCTCAGGAACCCGTCTTGGGAGACGACCGCCAAGTTCGAACCGCACGGGCTAAAGGCAAATTCGTTTATACAACATCCTTCCGCACCGATCACCCATCTGTACAGTGGGTTCCTCGTCGACTTCGTTTTACAGGTGTATATGGCGTAACCGTCTCCCGCCTTGAAAGACTGGTAGTGAGGCGCCGTCGTCCCGCACAAAAGCTCTTCGTTGTACAGATACAACTGTCCGGAACTGTGAGACACCAAGAACAGATTGTTCGATCCAGGAACCCATTTTATACACGTCACCTTGCTCTTATCTATTAACCTCTGCAACATGAACAAAACGTAACAACGGTGAAAAAGAGAAGTCTGAACATACATGAAACACGTTCGTATCGTGGAGATCGTACGTATGAAACGCTAGGAACACTCGTCCGAACATTGTTCAATCGTCTTACGAATCGACGGCTTCGACGATTCTCCTACGACTTTAGGGTTGTGCCCGAAATATTTTCAAACGCGAATCATCTCGATACGACGTACCTACGTCTTCATTATATTACTTTACTTCGAACGATGTACCTACATCTTCATTATACAATTTGCTCAGTTCCTTTTTTATCGGATCTATCAGTTGGATCTGTCCCGTGGAGAAACCCACTAATAATGGCGCACTGTCCGCTGTTGCTGTCGTTTGATTAAAGTTATGGCAAGTTGGATTAGTTCCCTTATACAATTTCTTGTCCACTGGTTTATTTAAATCCACAGCCTGGAACATTTTTATTCGACATTAGCCGGATACAAATTTGACCGAAGAAACAATGACATTCGACGACCAGAAGGTCGACGTAGAATTTAAACAGAGGCAGCCACGACCATCACTTTTTCAAATATACCGATACTGTAACGATTGACGTAAAACGAACTCCGATTCGAGAGGATCAAGGTTTAATTGTTAAAGATTAATCGAGGTGGACGTAACACGATTAAAATGGAGTGAAACGAGAAAGATACCAGCAGAAATTCGGGAAATTCATGCGCTCAGCATTGAAAGGAATCGTTCGACCGGGGTAACGTTCGACGATTACGACCATAGCGTGGAGTTATTCACAAAGTAAAAGTAATTCTGCTTGTTAGGTGTGGTGATGGTCGCGCAAAGATGGAGTCTCGACACAGTCTTGGAGGTTAGATCTCGTAAAATACCACGCTTAATTACGGGTAAATAGTTCGATGAACGGCGGTACGCGATCGATCAGCGGTCTCAGGTACCTTTTTAACTCCTCGATAGACGTAAACGTAAAGCTCCTTCCCAAAATTGAAACACATCCGATCACCGAGACCTTGCGTACCCGTAGGATCCGCTGGGTCCGGTAAAGTCACGAAGGACACCCTCACGGATGCGCTCCCTTGGCTATTCGTGTAACCGACCCTGTTCGGTCTCGAATACTCCGACAAAGTCATTAGCTTGTACGTTCCTTCCCGCGTGACAAACTGCGTTTTCAAGTCCTCCTTCCCTCCTCCGTCCAACTGTACAGCCATCTTACCACCAGCGGTGCGACGGAGGAGCTCATCAGACACGAAAAACCGTTCGTTGACTTCTGTCCTCGTACACGTCCGTCAACGATCCCTTAGCGGAAAGCTTCTAGAAACTGTCCGATGCGAACTGCCCGGCTCGTTCTATCGAAAAGTTTCCAAGTGATCAACGTTCACCGGTTCTGTACGCAACCACTGTTAAAGGCGCTCCAAGTTCTGTATCGAAACTGGCCGTGCATTTACGACCCGCAGCTCACAGCTCACACACATATCCTCAACCGCGTACGAGATAATTCGGTCCCCACTGTACTCATCCCTGACCATGTAACGACTCGTACGTTTTGTAACGCGTTAATCGCAAAATTTATGCGGCATTTTTCAATATCCGTTTAAATGCAATTAATAGGAAAACGAAAGCTCGTAACTATTCGTAGCATTAGAACGTGTGTTCATCGTAAATTAAAAATACAATGTAACATCGAACAATATGAATATAGACGTGTCGCGTTCGTCGGCAGTTGTGAAAAGTGTCATGCTTTCACTCGATTCTGACTAATTTTTCATTGCAACGGGGAAAAATGAAATATGGTCGAAGAACACACACGGCACTGTCAACGCCGTGTTATTATTGCGCGCGCAGCGTCGCCTGTTCGCCTGAACTCGTTAGCTCTGACGACTCGTCAGGAACCGGATATTTTGTAAACAACTGAGCGAAGGGTTAATTAATTTTGCCCACTTCTTCTACTTCCTGCGTTTCCCGACCATTTGGCTTATCGGGAACAATCGTCCAATTGTCACGAACCGCTTTGAGCAGTGGACCGATCACGAACAAGATTAGCCGGTAATAATAAAGTCATTCTTTTTTCGGCATGATAACGTCGTGCTTATATTTCCTCGTTCGAATTGTACATTTCAATTTATGTCTCCAAACAAGCCTCACGAGTTCTTCTATTTTAATCTTCCTCTTATCTTCATTCTCGACAATCGCTCTCCTATTAACTGTATTAGTAGATCTACCTAACGGAGTACATCATCTTTAAATACAGTCTTCATACCATTTTCTGTCTCTCCCTCCTGTATCTCCTACTTCCTGGTTTTCCTCTGTTTCCCCTTTTTTTAATACTGATCGGAATTGCACGAAACTTGAGAGTCTTTCGAGCTTTGTAGCGATAACTATTCTACTTTACACTACTTGTAAGAATACTTTTCCTTCCCTCGTTAGCGTACTTTTAACATTATTTTTCTTTCGTTCCAGATATCTCTCGGTTAGGAATTATAGAAATAATAGAGGCGGCATCTGGAAGTGTCAGGGACAAAATAAACTATAATTAAACTATAAGTAAGTTGTCCTCTTTGTAAATTATTGTACACCTTTTAAAGCTCAATGAATAAAGAAATAGTTCAAATGCAATGCAAACGTCTTGTCACCCACTTTACCTTTAACTCTACCCACATCCAATCCCTTCTCTGTGTCATATTCACTTGCGTCAGTATAAGTAGAAATAATGTAGAATAGAAGGTTAAGAAATCTTTGGAATTGTGATGTCACAGCCGGAGACTGTGCCATCTCTTATCGCCTCATGTTTTTCTAATACAAAGTCTAATTTGAAGCAAAAATTTTGTCGAAAATTTCACTTTGTATTAGGAGAACATAAGATGATAGGAGGTACAGCTAGTAACAACGAAACTGAGCCATCTATGTGCATGTGTTAGTTTCCCCTAGAGGACAAAATTCAAAACGGGTGTTAATAAGTGTACGTCTTATCTTTTCAATGCTCGATCAGGCGTTTATAGAATTATGGTCGATACTGTTTGACACGTCAAAATGAAAACAATTTTAACCTACGTCTGGATAAATAGTTACTGATGTAATTTTATTTTGAAATTGAATGTAAAGGGAATGTGAAAATACAGGAA